CAAATTCACCCCTTTTCAACCAAATTCACCCCTTTTCAAACCAAATTCACCCCTTTTCAAACCAAATTCACCCACTTTTCAAACCAAATTCACCCTCACTTTTCGAATCAAATCAACCAATCGCGGGCAACTCATCAACCAGATCACGCCAGACATCACTGCGAGCCCCGCCCCGACGGCCACGCCACTTGTCAGCGCGGACATACAGGGGGGGGGCAAAAAAAAGTCACTTTGCTTCATTGACTTTCGAGGCGCTATAAGTTACACTTTATAAATTCTGATCGGACATTTCTACCACCATATTAAAGAGCATATTAAATACTATTATGACACTCCGCCACAGCCTTCTGGAGGAGCGCCATCGAGAGATTCTGGCACGCAACCGCGATGTGGTCCCTGAGATCAGCGAGATAGTCGATTTCTCCGCCACCGTAGACCACCCTATTGAACTCCGCCGAACCGGGTAATTGAGGGGATTCAGGTCAGGTGACCTACTTGGATATTCCATCTTCTTTAGGTACTCAGCCCCCTTCCATTCCAGGTAGGCGAGAGTTTCTCCAACGCCCTTCGATTCCACGTGGTGGCACCCAATGCTGTAGCAGTACAAAGTTTCCAAGGTACGGGCGACGACATGTGGAGAAGATATTCTTCTTGAGTTGGTCGATGTAACCGCCAGCGCTCAGCTTCAGCCCGGGGTCCACGAAGAAAATATTGGTCTTTCCATTCCAGGTGCGTCCGGTCCATACCATCAACCCGCGCCTTGGCGACTGCGGTGAAGATGATGTCCTAGACCGTAGCGACGTTGTCGGAGCTGCTCGATGTTGGAGGTCTTCCAGATCGAGAGTACTGGTCTCCAGGTAGCTATCCATGGGTGACTCCACACTAGAAGTTTCGCAGCTGTTTGGAGGTGACATGAATTCCAAAGGTCTTCTCCAGTCAGGCTGCGACTGGAGATGACTTCATATTTTGGTGTACATGAAGGTGATGGGCGAGGGCCAGCTCCTGCTTATCGAGGAACATCTTGGGTATCTTCCGCCCTGGTACTCGTATCCACGTCTCTGTCTGGGCTGCGAAAACTTTGCTGATATGTGACTCGGTCGAAGTTTTTGGCCACCCCTGTAGATTCTCAAATCTTGTTTCATAACTTCTGCTTTTGCTGTTTCCCACAAACACTTTGACTGGAAACGACCGGGCACATGGCCGACTCCGCCCATTCTCTAAAGGGTTTGGCAATCTAGGCTGACCACGCCCACTTGCTTTTCGCGGAATTTCGATTTTTCAAAATTTTTGCATTTTAGGGCTGCTGCGTGAAGCCCCGCCCACTGTGAGAGGCTCCGCCCACTTTGAAGAAGCCCCGCCCACTTTTCAAAAATGGTGCAAATCGGCAGTATAGGGTCTTGGCTTTCATGCTAGGGTCTCGTTCGTCACTCGGAACAAGAAAATCAGGCAAAGTTTGTTCCGAATGATCAGCAATACCCTAGCATGCCAGCCAAGTCTCTATACTGCCGATTTGCACCATTTTTGAAAAGTGGGCGGGGCTTCTTCAAAGTGGGCGGAGCCTCTCACAGTGGGCGGGGCTTCACGCAGCAGTCCTAAAATGCAAAAATTTTGAAAAATATCAAAATTCCGCGAAAAGCAAGTGGGCGTGGTCAAGGGGGCGGAGCCTAGATTGCCAAACCCTTTAGAGAATGGGCGGAGTCGGCCATGTGTCAATGCCTCGTTTCAGTCAAAGTGTTTGTGGGAAACAGCAAAAGCAGAAGTTATGAAACAAGATTTGAGAATCTATGTCCGCGCTGACAAGTGGGCGTGGCCGTCGGGGCGGGGCTCGCAGTGATGTCTGGCGTGATCTGGTTGATGAGTTGCCCGCCCTAATAAGTGTGGTTAACTTGATGAAAAGTGAGGGTGAATTTGGTTTGAAAAGGGGTGAATTTGGTTTGAAAAAGGGTGAATTTGGTTTGAAAAAGGGTGAATTTAAAGTGAAAATGGTATACAGGGGGGGGGGCAAAAAAAAGTCATTCCGGCCGAGTCACATATGAGCGAAGTTTTCGCAGCCCAGACAGAGGAAGTGGATATGAGTACCAGGGCGGAAGATACCCAAGATCTTCCTCTATAAGCAGGAGCCGGCTGCCGCCATTCACCTTCATGTACACCAAAATATGAAGTCATCTCCAGTCGCGGCCTGAGTGGAGAACGCCTTTGGAATTCACGTGGCCTCCAAACAGCTGCGGAACTTCTTGAATGGAATCACCCATGGATAGCTACCTGGAGACCAGTACTCTTGATCTGCAAGACCTCAACATCGAGCAGCTCCGGCAACGTCGCTACGGTCCAGGACATCATCTTCACCCCATTCACCAAGGCGCGGGTTGATGGTGTGGACCGGCCGTACCTGGAATGGATGAACCGATATTTTCTTCGTGGGCCCCAGACTGAGGGTGTGCGCTGGTGGCTACATCGAGCAACTCGAGGAGAATATCCCATCTTCATGTCGTCGTCCATTCCTTCTTGGAAACTTTGTACTGCTA